TTCAACCAATTAGTTTAAATTTCAATATGGAGATTTTTATTAAAAAAATATCATCAAGTATCTACCAATTCAAACCGTCAATTACATTACTTATTAATGAAAAAAAATCTTAACTAAGAGATGTAAATGAAAAAATCCCATAAATACTAGTCGGTTGATTTAAAACCCGTTAACTAAGTTATTGACAGAAACCTTTAACAAAACAAAAATATTTATTGACAAAAAAAAACCATCGAATATTACAAATATAATTTAAACAAATAATGTAAAGTATCGACTATATACGTTTAGGCGGAATGATAAATCAAAAGGATTTTTCACTAAAATGTCGTATGTGAGGGCTTTTCATTAATTATTTAGTTGTGGGCTTCTAAATGAACCAATTAATATGTGAATTTTTTTTCATTAAAATCTCTTACTTGAGAAGTTTTTTGTTAATAATTTAGTTAAGGGTTTTAAAACGGATTGTTCGATACTTAAAAATTGTTTTCTTAAAATCCCTACCATATGAAATTTCTCGAATAAATGAATAAAACATTCCGAATCTACCAATCTGGAATATTTTCATGCATTGTTATGGCTTTCTACTTTTAATAAACGCGTTAGAATCTATATATACATTTTTGAAATACAAATATGAAATAAATCTTAAACTTCTAACTTATTTAAATTGACTCGAATTATATGTCTTTTAAATAAATTATTATTAAATATAAAAAAATGATGTTTAATTGCACGGGACGGAGTTATATGGTGGAATGTGTTTGTGTCGATATTAATACGGGACAGTATACTACTGGTGAAATTCTAGAATTAACTATCAAAATAAAATTATAAAATCTTAAATATTAAACAAAACAAACAATATTAACAAAACAAATTCAACTTAAAATTCAATTTTTTGTTATAAAAAATCGATCTACAGGTTACCGCGGGGTAATATATAATATAATATAATATATATATATAAGTATATTTAAATCAAACAAAACAACAGGTTATATCTATAGATTATCTTCAAAAAAATATAGCCATGTGGTGTCTCGCGGGTTAACCTCTAGTATAAGTATATGATCAGAAACACATTTGATTCAGAACAAAAAAAAATCAAATATAGTAATTAACAAAAAAGATCTTGGATGATCATCTCGATAAAAATTTTAAAAATATATAAGTAAGTGAAACTAAATAATAATAAATTATTATTTTAAACATGAATTATACGATAATCAATTCACCAATTCCTTTTTAATAAATAAAAACATAAATTAAAATTTGGAAACATGTGGTAAACTGTTGATTGGAAACCAAAAATAAAAATCAATAAAAATTTAGTACTTTCTATACATCGTACTGAACACGATGAAAGAGTTTGAAAACATATATATGTTGGAAGTATCTTATTTAGTTTGCTCTTGATGTATAAGTTAACCAAAAAAAAAAATAGAAAATATGTAAAAGTTGTTTGAACAGAAAAAAAAGGTAACAATTTTAGTTAATTGTTTTTTAAAAAACTAGGTTATGAACCCCCCGATATCGCGGGGAAACTCATTTTCAACAAATATATTTTATTACGTTTATGTATTAAATTATTATTATAATATATTCAAATAATTGAATTATTAATAATTATATAAAATTAACTATGTCTTAAAGTTATATCGTAAATATTTTCTAAAGATATTAAAAAAAAATGATGAATAAAAATGTACAAAAAACAATTATGATTAAAAAACACTTTTGAAACATTTTTTGTGAATATAAAATTATTTATAAGTGACAAAATAACTAACGAAGAGTTATAATATAGAGAGAGAAAATTCTAGCGGATCAAAACCAAAAAGATATAATAACACAACCAGAAAAATAACCGTCAACACAAAAAGTAACCGTCAATATTTTAACGAAGAGTTGCGATAAAAAGACATAACCGAGAAAAAATAACCGTCGATATTTTAACGGAAAGTTGCGATAAAAAATACAACCGAGAAAAAATAACCGTCAATATTTTAACGAAAAGTTGCGATAAAAAGACACAACAAAAAAAGTAAATGTCAATATTTTTACGAAAAGTTATGATAAAAAGATACATCAGAAAAAATAATTGTCAACGAAAAATGTAACCGTAAATATTTTAACGAAGAGTTGCGATAAAAAGACACAATCGAGAAAAAATAACAGTCAATATTTAAACGAAAAATTGCGATAAAAAGCTATGTTGCATGGAAACGGAAACGGAAACGTGGAAGCGAAACGTTTCAGAAACGGGAAACAATTTTTTTCTAAAATTAGAGATTGGAAACGTTTTGGAAACGTATACACATATATAATATATGTATATATATAACATTAACATAAAACTATAAAAATAGTTTAATTAAACAATACAAGTCCAAAACATCAAATATTAAATAGGTTAACTAAAATTCTAAAAGAAAAAAAGATTAAAAGGTTCAAGTTCAAATATTTAATTTAGACCAACATTTTCATTCTCATTTTCATTAGTTTCATCGTAGATCATATAAAGATGCCTCCAAATCTAGTTTGTCGATAAAAAAATCTAAAAACTCAGAGTTTTCCAAAATTAGTGATATGTATTACTCTATAAATCTTAATTTTTTCAACTTTTATTTATTAAGTTTCCAAAGTCAATAAAAAGGATTTGTCGCGTTTCCATTTTAGAAACGTGAGTTTCCATCGTGTTTCCAAACATAAATTTTTAGAAAACGTGTTTCCGTGACGTTTTTCGTGTTTCCGAAGAGTTTCCGTTTCCGAAACGTTTCGGAAACGGGAAACGGACCTCGAAGAGAGTTTCCATGCAACATAGATAAAAACACACAAACGGAAAAAAATAACCGTTAATATTTTAACGAAAAGTTGCGATAAAAAGACACAACCAAGAAAAACGAACGTCAATATTTTAACGGAAAGTTGCGATAGAAAGACACAACCGAGAAAAAGAAACCGTCGATATTTTAAAGGAAAGATACGATAAAAAGACAAAAACAAAAAAAGAAACCGTCAATATTTTAAGTGAAAGTTATGATAAAAAGACACAACCGAAAAAATAACCATCAATGAAAAATTGTAACCGTAAATATTTTAACAAAGAGCTAGGACAAAAAGATACAACCGAGAAAAAATAACCGTTAATATTTTAACGAAAAGTTGCGATAAAAAGACACAAACGAGAAAAGTAATGTTAATATTTTAACAGAAAGTTGCGATAAAAAGACACAACCAAAAAAATAATCGTCAACGAAATAAAAAAAACGTCAATATTTTAACGAAGAGTTGTGATAAAAAGACACAACCGAGAAAAAATAACTGCCAAACTTTTAACGGAAAGTTGCGATCGAAAGACACAAACAAAAAAAAATAACCGTAAATATTTTAATGGAAAGTTACGATAAAAAGACATAACCGAAAAAATAACTGTCAACGAAAAAAGTAACCATCAATATTTTTACGAAGAGTTGCGATAAAAAGATACCACCGAGAAAAAATAACTGTCAATATTTTAGCAAAAAATTGCGATAAAAAGAGACAACCGAGAAAAAAAATAACCGTCAATATTTTAATGGAAAGTTACGATAAAAAGACATAACCGAAAAAATAACTGTCAACGAAAAAAGTAACCGTCAATATTTTTACGAAGAGTTGCGATAAAAAGATACCACCGAAAAAAAATAACTGTCAATATTTTAGCAAAAAATTGCGATAAAAAGAGACAACCGAGAAAAAAAATAACCGTCAATATTTTAACAGACAAAAAAAGACACAATCGAGAAAAAAATATCGTCAATATTTTAACAAAAAGTTATGATAAAAAACAGAAACAAAAAAAGTAACCGTCAATATTTTAACGGAAAGTTGCGAGAAAAAAATACATCCAAAAAACTAACCGTCAACGAAAAAAGTAACCGTTAATATTTTAACGAAAAGTTGCCAGAAAGAAAAATAACCGTCAACTAAAAAATTAACCGTCAATATTTTAACGAAGAGTTGCGATAAAAAGACACAACCGAGAAAAAATAACAGTCAACATTTTAACGGAAAATTGCGATAAAAAGACACAACCGAGAAAAAATAATCGTCAATATTTTAACGGATAGCTACGATAAAAAGACACAAACGAATAAAGTAACAACCAATATTTTAACTGAAAGTTGCAATAAAAATACACAACCGAAAAATAACCGTCAATATTTTAATGAAGAGTTGCGATAAAAAAAACACACCCAAAAAAATAACCGTTAATATTTTAACGGAAAGTTACGATAAAGAGAAACAACCGTTCAGAAGTGCAAAATGCATTTATTGAGGTTGTTATTTTGGTTAATAAAACCAATTTGATATGTAGTCTAATGGTTGATGTAAAAAAACTTCGTAGTATTACTAACTATACAAAAAATGCAATGAAATTATATAATGGAAAGACGTAACTTTAAATGAACTAATGCAACTATAAAGATATAACTGTAAACTGAAAAGATACGACTGTAATTGAACAAATATAACCGTAAATAATTCAACGAAAATTCAAAGAGAAAATTCAATAAAAAGACATAACCGTAAAAAAATAACCGATTTAAACGAAGGTTGCGATAAAAAGACGCAATCGTTCAAATGTGCAAATGGTATTTATTAGATTGCTATTATATATAGATTTGCATGTTATTTTTATGTTTTCGTCAAGACACATGTTATTATGAACCTGTGTTTTTGGGTGTTATAAGTTATAACTGTGGGGAAGGGTCCCATAATGGTAACAAACCATAGCTGCCAAAAAAAAAAAAAAAAAATGGTAACAAAACATCAGATTTCTTAAGACCACAAAATGTGAGCACATATTGTGAAACCATGATGTTATTATGAAATACGAGCTGCTTAAAAGCAAAAGACTGATACAAAGACGTGTTTGCAAAATAAGTCTAAGCATGAGTGAACATGCATCTTTTATTGAAATCTATAACAGCAAAATAAAAATAAAACTGTTACTAGATCTTAGTGATATTAACTTTGAGACCATGTTGCATGCGAAAAAGAACAGAAGGAACAGGTTCGGTTTTGTGCCCTTCAACGACCTTGATGTCATAGTTTCGTATGATTTCCGCAGCCACTGTCTTCATCTGCAAGAACGTTAACTTTTTTCCCAAGCAAGCTCTTGGACCAGCGTTAAACGCCAAGAACTTATATGAAGGTTCTTGTTTTAACCTTCCACTGTATGAAATCCATCTCTCTGGTCTGAAATCTTCCGCGTCATCTCCCCAAACAGATTTCATCCTCCCTAATGCATACATAGATATGACAATCTTCCAATTCTCATCGACTTTATGCCCACTTGGAAGCACGTCTGGCTTTGCCGGTGACTTGTGGTTAAATGGGACTGGTGGGTATAACCTTAGCGTCTCACACACGGCACCGTGTAGATACACGAGCTTGTCTAAATCTGCGGGATCAAACCTCGGCATCTTCTTGTTAACCTCTTGTCGAATCTTGTTCATTGCTTCAGGGTTCTTGGACAGAAGCCAGAAGAACCAAGTGAGAGCTGAACTTATTGTGTCTCTTGCCACTATCAAGAAACCCAAAATAGTGTCTTTAATGAATTTATCATCACTTGGTTTCAAGTACTAATATTCGGTCGTGTCCATAGTCATGTAGTATGTCAAAACGTCTATGGCCTCTCCTCTTGAGTGATGTTGAGTCCCAAGACTTTTGATCTCCTCTCTTTTAGCCGTTATGATCTTCTCGAGAAGTTGATCGAAAACCGCAAGACCTCTTTTCAATCTTTTCTCGAGTCCTACACCAATCCAATATTGGAGCCTCCACAAGAAAACCGGCTTGACATGTCTATAGAAAACTCTGTCAGAGACACCATCTACTGCGTCACCGAACTCAACCTTAGGTGTGGAAGTCGAAACTAACACAATCAAGATTTGTCTAGGGTTTTATTTTAGGGATACGATAATCGTGAATTCTCAAAGAACAACAGAAACGATTGTAACCAAAGATGGTGTTCTTGATATTATTAAGAAAAAGATGACTTTGATCGTACAAGAGTTTGATCGTAAAAGGAAAAAGATGTTTGTGCTGTGAGAGCTTTGCGTAGTGTAAATTCTAGAGCGATCTTGCTTCTCCCTCTGTGAGAGCCTTGAGTCTCTTTATATAGGGGTGATAAACCGCCTCTCCAGCGATATTCTCGGAAGATTTCCATTTATCTTGAAGTCGGTGTAGAATATCGCGGATCAGGATAATTTCCTTATTCTTCGGAGTTTTTTGGAAGATTTCCTGATTTAAGTTGATCCTTCGTGATTCTCCTTTATCATTTCCGGGTTTATCGGAAATGACCCTTCGGAAATGATGCCTTGTTTGGAAATGATACTTTGAAGATGAATATTTATCAAGTCTTTGCCTCGAGTGATGATGAAGACTTCGCCTCGGGTGACTTTGCAGACTTCGCCTCGGGAACAATACACATTTCACCTCGGGTAGCACTGAGACTTTGCCTCGGGAACAATACACATTTCACCTCGGGTAGCACTGAGACTTTGCCTCGGGAACAATACACATTTCACCTCGGGTAGCACTGAGACTTTGCCTCGGGAACAATACACATTTCACCTCGGGTAGCACTGAGACTTTGCCTCGGGGTAACTGCAGTATAAGGCTCGGCAGTGTACCCCGAGCTGACTGTGTACCCCGAGCTGACTGGCAGACTGACTGGCAAGGTACCCGAGCTGACTGGCAGACTGACTGGCAGGGTACCCGAGCTGACTGGCAGACTGACTGGCAGGGTACCCGAGCTGACTGGCAGACTGACTGGCAGGGTACCCGAGCTGACTGGCAGACTGACTGGCAGGGTACCCGAGCTGACTGGCAGGGTACCCGAGCTGACTGGCAGGGTACCCGAGCTGACTGGCAGACTGACTGGCAGGGTACCCGAGCTGACTGGCAGACTGACTGGCAGGGTACCCGAGCTGACTGGCAGACTGACTGGCAGGGTACCCGAGCTGACTGGCAGGGTACCCGAGCTGACTGGCAGGGTACCCGAGCTGACTGGCAGACTGACTGGCAGGGTACCCGAGCTGACTGGCAGACTGACTGGCAGGGTACCCGAGCTGACTGGCAGACTGACTGGCAGGGTACCCGAGCTGACTGGCAGGGTACCCGAGCTGACTGGCAGACTGACTGGCAGGGTACCCGAGCTGACTGGCAGACTGACTGGCAGGGTACCCGAGCTGACTGGCAGACTGACTGGCAGGGTACCCGAGCTGACTAGCAGGATAACCCGAGGTGTTGAAGTTTGGCTCGGTCTCAAAGGATGGGTGAAATCCGACCCCAACAGTTAGCCCCCCAGCTCGTTGACTTGGGAGCAAGTGTGACGAGCTTCATGAATGAGTCGACCGAGCTGTTAACTTCTGCTTCGAGTCGCCAGTGAACCTGAGGCGGCACTCTTAGAACCGTCCTTTTTCTTCCTTTTTGGTTGTAGTGTAAGATTGTGCATGGATGACTTTGTCGTTGTATTTTTGCAAAGTAAATACAAACGCTATTTTCAAAGATCCTTGTCTTCGAAGAGAATACAATGATTTTGAATAGTTTCCGTATCAAAACATCTTTTTGTCCTAAGTAAAAAAGAATTTATGTAGCCGGAGCGAAAGATAGATACCAGTGTTAAGATAAACTGGGTTTTAGTAGCCGGAGCGAAAGATAGGTACCAGTGTTAAGATAAACTGGGTTTTAGCAGCCGGAGAGAAAGATGGGTACCAGTGTTAAGATAAACTGGGTTTTAGCAGAAAGATTTGAACGTTCACGGTCGCGACCCGATTCGATTCAATCGATAACCAGTGCTTAGAAGCGAACTGGGGCACCAGTGTTAAGATTTTACTGGGATTTTTGAAGACAATTTCATCTTTGGTCGGATATCTTCGACCAGATTGTCTCGAATGCTTATATAGCGCGCTGTAACCGTGGAGGTGTAGATGAATTTAGTTCGCGGGCGTGGCCATCGCCCAAACGAACAATACGGAGTTTAGACCGTGTTGATTTCCCGAGGCGAGTTTCGGGGTAAAGACCGAGGTAGGTTTAGTAAAACCCGAAGTGTATACTTAGAAATATAGTTTGATAAAATTTGAATAGGAGTATAGGAAACATATAATTGATAAAGTTTGAATGGGAGTATGGATATACGGACCCCACTCTCCCCCCCCCTTTTTGATAAGGGGAGGTAGCTGAACTCGTCCGAGGACGAGCTGCCTACGTACCCTTTTCGGGGATCAAGCCACCCCGTAGTTCAAGCTTATGCGTACCTTAGGTTTTTAGCGGTAGTATTTCCTGAGGTGTTTCCACAACTGGGATAGTCTCGGCCTCCTCGGAACCAATTGTGACGGCAATGGGGTTAGGATTCGTCATCTCCACCTCAGGCTCATCGGTCGCTTTGGCTCGTCTCTGATAGGCTTTGATCGCGGCTACGGTGTCGGGGCAAAACGCTGATCCTCCCATTATCATGTAGATTCTTTGTCGTGTTCCGTCACGCTCCTCGTCGGGTGTTCCCCGGACTCTCTTCGGAGCCTCTGGCTCCCTTGGCTCGGGACCCCTTGCTGTGTCCACCTGTTCGGGCTGAACTTGTTCTGGTTGTAGGTCTTTGAGGGTTATGTTCGTCCCAAGCTCTCCGGCTAGAAATTTGGCCGCTAATATTGCTCCGAGGCTCCTGCATCTGGAAGTGTGATGCCCGATGGTCTTGTGATGCTCGCAGTATTCTTTTTCGTCACCTGGGGGTTGACATCTTTTCCAAGTGAATGAATCTCTTCCTTGCCCACGGCCTACGTCGACTTGATAGTTGTGGGCTCCTGAGAAATCGTGCCCCTCGTGGTGCGTGTACGTTTCACTCTGATCCGGCTTCTTCTGGCTCTGCAGTCCTGTTTGGGCTTTCTCGGTTTGGGATGCTTGCTTTGTCGGCTCGTGTCTCTTCGCTAGTAGCTCCATTTCTTCTTCGTAGGCGACGAAATCTGAGGCTCGGTGCAGCGCGTCGCGAATTGTAGTAGGTTTGGATAGGTTCAGCTCTTTTCTGAATTCTGACTTGTACCAGAGAGCTTTCTTCAAAGCCGAAAGAGCGGCTACATCTGTAATTCCTTCGACCTTGGCTAGCGTCGATTTGAAGGTTGTGAGGAAATCTCTCAACGGTTCGGTGGGCTGTTGAGATAGGGACCACAGATCCGCGTCGGAGGTTCCGGGGTCGATGAGGACGGAGTATTGTTTGAGGAATAGTGTCGACAGCTCGTCGAAACTGTCAATCGAGTTTTGTTCCAATTTAGAAAACCACTCTAATGCGGGTCCTTTGAGGTGTTCCACGAACAGCAAGCATAGACCTGCATCCTTCTCCCCGGGCTTGAACCTGGCTCGGGCTACGGATATCACGAAAGATTTAATGTGACACTTCGGGTCGGTTGATCCGTTGTAGGAGTCGATTTTGAACTTCCCCAGATTGGACATCGTCGTTTCGGAAATTCTTTTGGTGAAGGGCGTATTCCGAGATTCTTCTAAAATTCGGTCGATGTTTGGTGCAGAGGATGAAACGCTATGTATCTGGGTTTTGACGAGCTTCATATCAGCTTCCGCCTTGGCTAGGGAGGCTCGGATCTTGCTGAGCTCGTCCTCCCTTTCGGATTCTTCGGCCCATCTTACGTTCTCCTCAGTTTCTTCATCGTCAGTGAGATCTGTTCGCTCGGTGGAGTTAGCTCCGGCTCGGGTACGCTCATCTTGCAGATCATCTGGCTCGTCCGTCAAGTCCACTGTGTCTGGCTCGGTGGGATCATCTTGGTTCTCGCATCTGGCAGGGTCGGCTCGGGTTGCGACTTCGGTGTTGCCGGTTGGTGTCGCGAACGTGAGTCTCGTTGGATTGATGCCAGGCAAGTCCCTCCGAGCTCGTGGCGGCCGAGTCTGGAAACGCGTGGTTTTTTGTTGCCCACGTGTTGCGATTTCGTCGACTCGCTGCGCCAAGGTTTTGTTAGCTTTCTCTTGATCGTCAGCTTTCTTCTGGAATTTAACCATCATATCCTTCAGTTCGGCTAGGGCTGCTAAGATTGTCGGATCGGGTTGAGGATTCTGAGGGTTCAGAGCATTAGGGTTCCCTCCTCCGGCTGGCGGTATCTGACGATCGTCTTCGTTTACCATCCTCTCTGGTATTCGAGTCTCGCGTTCTTAGGGTAAGAGAATTCTAAAGTAATCCCCACAGACGGCGCCAAACTGTGGAAGTCGAAACTAACACAATCAAGATTTGTCTAGGGTTTTATTTTAGGGATACGATAATCGTGAATTCTCAAAGAACAACAGAAACGATTGTAACCAAAGATGGTGTTCTTGATATTATTAAGAAAAAGATGACTTTGATCGTACAAGAGTTTGATCGTAAAAGGAAAAAGATGTTTGTGCTGTGAGAGCTTTGCGTAGTGTAAATTCTAGAGCGATCTTGCTTCTCCCTCTGTGAGAGCCTTGAGTCTCTTTATATAGGGGTGATAAACCGCCTCTCCAGCGATATTCTCGGAAGATTTCCATTTATCTTGAAGTCGGTGTAGGATATCGCGGATCAGGATAATTTCCTTATTCTTCGGAGTTTTTTGGAAGATTTCCTGATTTAAGTTGATCCTTCGTGATTCTCCTTTATCATTTCCGGGTTTATCGGAAATGACCCTTCGGAAATGATGCCTTGTTTGGAAATGATACTTTGAAGATGAATATTTATCAAGTCTTTGCCTCGGGTGATGATGAAGACTTCGCCTCGGGTGACTTTGCAGACTTCGCCTCGGGAACAATACACATTTCACCTCGGGTAGCACTGAGACTTTGCCTCGGGAACAATACACATTTCACCTCGGGTAGCACTGAGACTTTGCCTCGGGAACAATACACATTTCACCTCGGGTAGCACTGAGACTTTGCCTCGGGAACAATACACATTTCACCTCGGGTAGCACTGAGACTTTGCCTCGGGGTAACTGCAGTATAAGGCTCGGCAGTGTACCCCGAGCTGACTGTGTACCCCGAGCTGACTGGCAGACTGACTGGCAAGGTACCCGAGCTGACTGGCAGACTGACTGGCAGGGTACCCGAGCTGACTGGCAGACTGACTGGCAGGGTACCCGAGCTGACTGGCAGACTGACTGGCAGGGTACCCGAGCTGACTGGCAGACTGACTGGCAGGGTACCCGAGCTGACTGGCAGGGTACCCGAGCTGACTGGCAGACTGACTGGCAGGGTACCCGAGCTGACTGGCAGACTGACTGGCAGGGTACCCGAGCTGACTGGCAGACTGACTGGCAGGGTACCCGAGCTGACTGGCAGACTGACTGGCAGGGTACCCGAGCTGACTGGCAGACTGACTGGCAGGGTACCCGAGCTGACTGGCAGACTGACTGGCAGGGTACCCGAGCTGACTGGCAGACTGTCTGGCAGGGTACCCGAGCTGACTGGCAGACTGACTGGCAGGGTACCCGAGCTGACTGGCAGACTGACTGGCAGGGTACCCGAGCTGACTGGCAGACTGACTGGCAGGGTACCCGAGCTGACTGGCAGACTGACTGGCAGGGTACCCGAGCTGACTGGCAGACTGACTGGCAGGGTACCCGAGCTGACTAGCAGGATAACCCGAGGTGTTGAAGTTTGGCTCGGTCTCAAAGGATGGGTGAAATCCGACCCCAACATTAGGCATTTCAATAGATAAACATTTTGGATCATACCCGGTCATCAAAATCAAAGATGTATCAAACAAGAATCTCTGGAACAAATCATGCAAGTCGACAAGGATATTTTTATCAACAGCGTTCTCAAGAATAGGAACAAGCCCTTGCCTTAATTTGTTTACACTTGTACTAATAAAAGTTCTACAAGATAAAACTAAAGCTTATATACACTATTTTCGTTTGTATGTGTCTTCACTTGATCTCTCTGTTTTCTTCTCTCCCACGTGCGACTTCTTTCTTCTTGTATACACTTAGAGCAACCTCAATGGGGGTTTCTAAACATGATTCTTAATAAATAATAAAATATATATATTATTTAAATATTAGATAGGTATCTTAAATTTGGAGAAACTTAGCCCAATTGTTTTTTAACTAAGAAACAATTGGACTAAGTTTCTCCAAATTTAAGGTACCCATAATTAAAAATATTATTTATCTATACTTACACTTTAATTTTATTTAAGAAACCAATGTTTAGAAACCCCATTGAGGGTGCTCTTATCATTCCTTCTTAGATTTATGTCGCACTTTCCTGAGAATAATGCTAAGCTATTAAATCATTATTACTCTCCATCTTCTAGCTAGTATATATATGGAAAACATGTATATTGTAGTCTATTGAACGATACCATCGCATGGGTCATTAAATAGTTGCATGTTCTGTGAACTCGCTCCTTAAGAAATAGTTGATCTACTGCTGCCATAAGAATGTTTCTTGCAAAACTAATGTGTCGAGTGTAACAATAATGCTTATTTAAATCTTTTAAGAATCTCATATGTTCATCTCAAATTGGTGTTGGCTTTAAAATCGCAGATTTCTCTATTACCGTTCACATTGGGTTAGCATTGCCTCATTGGTATTCAGTAGATTGATGTCGACATAAGAAGGTATCTGGCATTGTTATTCAGGGTACAATTTGACATGCTTTGATGGTGATTGTCAAGTTTTGATCAAGTCATTTCATGGAGTGAGAAATAATATGCTAAAAAGATTCTTATACTAATATTTTCTGTTCATGCTAAATATATCCACAATAACTAACACAATATATTTGTACGAAAAAAAAAATTTACATTAATTGAAGAAGACACTACAAAAAAAGCTCACATTGATAGCACTGTTTTATAGCACGATTTTCGAAATTACTATCGAAGATAAAGTTGTAATTTGGTTTTGATATTATAGCAGTGCATAAATGCTAAGATATAGTTTTAGTAAGCGGGAAACTTTTTTCACTTACTCCGCCAATTACTTAGCCAATTTTTCACTTTTTCGAACTCTTTTCTTATTTTCTCCTTTTTCTTTTGTTCTATCTCTTTTCATTTCAACACTTGCTCGAAAACCCTCAAGCTTAATAATTCTGCCCTAAAATCTCTTATACACACTAACTCCATCATCTAGCCACAAATTAAACCCTCAAGCTTAACACTTCTGCCCTAAATTCATAGCCGCTAGCTGTGTAACTTACCGTCGGCCCTAATTTCAGATCTATTTTCTGGATAGAACTCCGATTGAAGGCATGTGTATCTTACTCAATTGATTTATTTCTTCTATTGTACTTATTTCTTTTGATTCGGTGTCGTGACAGTTCTATAAAGTTTCGATTTTGGTTTAACGGTGGGGAACGGAGATCTGTTAGGAGACAAGGTTTGATAGAATCGGCGAGGTTTCTGAGTTGTGTGAGTAGCGGACATGTGATGAGGGAGCCATCTATGATTGTGAGGGAGGTTGCGGCGGAGCAGCTCGAGGAGAGGCAGAGCGATTGGGCTTATTTTAAGCCTAGACATTCACGGTCTTTGTCGGCGACTTTACAGCCTAGACATTCACGGTCTTTGTTGCAAACATCGTCTTTCTTCTCATTTGATTCATTGCCGCTATTAAATTCAGCCGCCGATTTTGGTGTTGATGGAGGAGAAGTTCCGTTTTGGTGTCGATTGAGGTTTCAGATTGGTCTAATTTGGTGAAGGAATAACCGAGAGAAGGCTTTGTACAATTGAGATGGAATCAAAACGATTGGTTTGGCGCAATTCCAGGAGCGTTGAAGGAGCTGCAAGTGAGTTCATTTTGAATTTTCAATCCTATTCTTGTTTAATATGTAGAAATTTGATTTGGTGATTCTCATAACAAGTGTTTTTATGTCAACGAGAATGTTAATGTAAGTGACTTGGATTTGGTTCAATTTTCACTAAGGAATCACGTTGGAGGGTAAGAGATGGAGATTTAATTTGGGGATTTAAAGGATTGAAGATGGAGAAGGCGAAGGATTTTGTGTTGATTTTTGAAATTTACATGCAGATGGTAGAACGATGCCACAAAGTTCTTGTTCGTAAGGCGCTGGAAGTGATTACAAGTTTATTGATGGATGGAATTTGTATGTCTTGATTTCACGATATCTTTCAAATTGTTTCTAATCGTGCCTGTTATTTAGTATTATGGATTGCAGATACTATAACTCACTTCCACCAATAACCAAGGTTTTACATGTTTCAGTTGATTGATAATGTGCATGTTGGTCTAAACGATTCTCTTTTACTTTGCATTCTTCTGTTGGATTGTGGCTTATGTGTTTTGTTTTCCTTGTTGTTCATTTTTTTTCCAGATCTTCATAAAAGGGATTTGACTGAATGGGAGGAAATTCAATGAAGATGTTGCAAATTACGTGTATGTTTGATTTTTGCAATCATATTGTTGAAAGTTTTCTTTGTTTTTATATCGTGTAAAGAGTTTATGCATATTGTGATAATTAGATATAAGTTAATAGATCTCAGTTTGTTTTTTTTAATTGGTTATATGGCTGGCCTGCACCTGCTCATTGGGCTGTTTCAAAATAGACAAAGGTAAGTTTGTTTTCTTTCTTTTGACTTTGTAATTGAATTCGATGAGTGTCTCTACTTTTCCTATTTTTCTTCAACATCGTGACCCTTGACTGACTAAATATTTTTCCATGGAGCTGAGTGTTGATAATCGATTTGTGTATTTGCAGGAGTTAAAGTGAAGCCAAGAAAGTCGTTTACTCTTAAGGCTACTAAAGCAACAGGAATAAGAAGACGTCACCTGTCCCATCTTAATATACATGGGTAAGTTTGTTACTTCTAAATTAGTACTTGTAGTTCTTTTTGACTTGACTGATCTTTGGCTTATGCGACATTGGGGCATGAAATTAAACCTAGGGTAGTCAGACAAAAAATATCGTCTTAGGTTACCACAACAATCACTCTTATGTACTAGTATGTGAATTATCTAAACCAAGTTGACATAACATCTTCTACCTAATTTTCTTATCTGACAATATTTCTCACTTTTTATGTCAAATTATATGCAGCCAATGCAAGAAGATGAGCAAGCTTGGATGGGTTATATCTCAAGAAGTTAGTTTATCCTTATGATGTTAGTTTTATTTTGGTTAAGACTTAGGTATACTTTCGATGTTAATTAGTATAATGATTGGTATGATGTTATGTAAACATTGTTCAAAATTTATGAAATATTAAAGTTTTTCTATCCAATTAAATAAATTCTAAAAACAGGATTCAAATATAAGAATTATATAAATCAAATTGTAAGAAAAAATTGGAAAAATTCATAAATTGTTATGAACAACTAAATAATGGCATTAAATTATTGCTATGAAAAAGTAAATAATAACACTAATAAAGTGCTATTGTATATGAAGATACTATAGCAGACAAAATTAATGCTATCGTAGGTGGGGCATCTACCATAGCTGCCGAGATCATAGCAGTTGTAATTTCGCTATGTATTACCTACGATAGCAGTTTTTCCGCGCTATCAATATACGTTTTTCTTGTAGTGAGAGCTTACAAAGGAATATATCCATTACATTGAATAAGAGTTTACAAAGTCATTAAAAAGAAGCGGGTTGATATGATTCATCCAAGTATCAAACCCTAAAGCAACCAAATCCAAGCCCTAGACTTGCACAAAAAGAAAGTGCAAACTCTTAGATATATTATTGGTTTAGTGACTTCGTTTTTCGTTGCATCCGAGATTCCAATTACCTTGACCCCTTTAATCCTAACATATCATTAAACATGCGATGCAATATATTGAGAATCTGAAATGATGAGTATATATAACTAAGATATCGCATCCATTGTTGCGTAAAACAATGAAAAAAAAAACAAATTCATGTATAACTTTAGTAGTGAAACGAATCAGAAATAAAAGATAACCATGAGAATGGATGACGGTTTCAATTTTACACCATTTTGGAAAACAATTTATCGACATTAGCGACTTTAAAAATTGCCTCGTTGGTATTCAGTAGACTGATGTCTACATATAAGAAGGTATCTGGCATTGTTATTCAGGGTACAATTTGACATGCTTTGAAGGTGATTGTCAAGTTTTAATCAAGTCATATCATAGAGTTTTCAAAAGATTTAAGAAATAATATGCTAAAAAGATTTTTATACTAATATTTTCTGTTCAAGCTAAATATATCCACAATGGCTAATACCATATATTTGTACGAAAAACAAAAATATATACATTAAATTGAAGAGGAGTTTTCAAAAGAATATATCCGTTACATTGAATAAGAGTTTACAAAGTCATTAAAAAAAAGCGGGTTGATATGATTCATCGAAGTATCGAACCCTAAAGCAACCAAATCTAAGCCCTAGACTTGCACAAAAAGAAAGTGCAAACTCTCAGATATATTATTGGTTTAGTGACTTCGTTTTTCGTTGCATCCGAGCTTCCAATTACCTTGACCCCTTTAATCCTAACATATCATTAAACATGTGATGCAATATATTGAGAATCTGAAACGATGAGTTTATATAACTAAGATATCGCATCCATGGTTGCGTAAAACAATGAAAAAAACAAATTCATGTATAACTTTAGTAGTTAAACGAAACAGAAATAAAAGATAACCACGTGAATGGATGACGGTTTCTATTTTACACAAGTTTAGAAATTTGTTTATCGGCATTAGCGACTTTTAAAAATTGATATTATTTATGAAGAAACACAGCATTGTTTCAAAAGAAAATACACACAAGTCATTTTTAACAGGCAAGAATGTAAATTATCGACTAAATATATTTAGGTCCAACGCATAAAATTTACTTTATTTGCGATTCTCTTGATCTCAGAAATCTTATCCAGTGTGGAAACAAAGCAAAAGAATAGACTTTTAAGATTCCTTAATTTCTTATGTTTCCGTATCTTGCTAGATTTTCTACGTACTATTCTATGTTTTTCCCAAAAACGTGCCAATATGTGGAAAGAATTGTGTTTTCCTAAAAAAGAATGAGGGCTTGATATCCAACGTATTCATGTGTCACGGATGTTCAGGTTAAGCTTAATTTGGAAACTAATAACTTCATCGGGTTTATTATTGGTGGTTACGACAATATATTATCCGTTAGGATACTTTTTAGGATGGTAAGGATTCTAATTTAGGTTCCAAGACATGGCAAAGCTATTGAAGTTAGGGTCAATTACGGTTGAATATGTACAGCAGGAGATTCGCAATTGTCAGCACTACTATACATACTTTTGTCTTTGATTTTTGGCATCCCACGGGACGCCTTCTCGACTCCATAGATGAGATATGCATTAGAAAATTAGGTGGTCACCTAAACTACGTAGTTGAATTTGCTATAAACATCTTGAAATAGTATGGCACATAAAATTAAAATCCTTTTCTTTTTTGTTATCAGCATTTGAATCCAACAAAATATGGCAATGGCATTCATAATCTTTTTTAGTTAAATTCTAAGGAGGAGGAAAACCTGACATAGCAATAAAATATATACAGGCAGAGGAAAGAAATTGACTTAATCAAAACTATTTTAGATATTTTTTATCTTTTAAATAATTACAAAGCAAATAAAAAAAAAAGTAAATAAAGAACTTGTTTTAAAAATAATGTGCACACTTATGTTTACTTGGAGGTTAGTATTTAAAAAGATAGTTAAAACTATTTATTTTGTAATGATTAAACTTCTTCAAATAGAACTAAACTTTTTGAGGCAAATACATCAATGGAAACGAACTTAAAGAAAAAAACTTTTAAGTATTACAACAATTAAAAAAAAAAACATCACATATAAATTTTTTTTTTTTTTTAGACCGGATAAATTTTGTTTTCTGAAATGGAAAAAAAAAATGCAGATGATCAAACACTTCACTCGAAATACATCCTTTAGACTAGCTAGAGATCATTGGTGATGTTAGGAGCACAAACATCAGTGAGGACAGTGGTGATGGTAGTGAGACCATTGATTTCAGGTTGGTAGTTGTTGATGTCCAAGCAAGGAATGCCCTCGTTCTCTCCAACATTAAGATTTTGATTCAAATCCAAAATCATACTTTGATTTGAATCTATATTCATTTTCATATTAAAATCATGGATTTTCTTTGGAATCTGATCATAAAAATCAAAAAGAGTCTGATATTGGAACTTACCGGCTTTTGTTGATCTTGATTTTGATATTGAATCATATAACCATCAAATCCGATTGGAGCAGATGCATCCACACCAATAGGAGCTGCCCCAATAGGAGGAGGTAAAGAAGAAGAAGACTCACCGTTCTCCGTAAGGATCTCAACCCTACGAATAAGACCATTGAGATACTTATCAATAAAGAAACTCAAATCTAGAAGATCTCTTCCATGAAGATGATAATTATCTATCTCCCCTTTGAGACAACCGAACATTAAATCTCGAATTTGAGAATTTCGGTTCTCATCACGTAGCTTTTGCAGTTTTTCTGTTTCTTTGGCGATCCTTTGACGTATAAATGTCTCTTGATCCACCATCTTCTTGGTCCGGTCTATCACCGAAAACTCCATAAAATTCGACACCACTTCTTCAACGCCTTCCTTTGATGGCCAAGCCTCCGGGATCGAGTTGTACGGGCTATTGATGACCGCACATGCTTCAACATCACATAGAGTCGCTAGCTCGTGGAGTTTCTTCATGATTCCTTTCTTCCTTTTGGTGAATGTTGTTTTCCTCACTGTATCATTTTCTATGAACGATAACTTAACCTTCCCCCTCATATCTATTATCTTTGTTATGTGTGTTTTGTTTTGTTTTGTTAGAATGAGGAGGATTGTTTATATAGTAAATAAAAGGTTTTCAACTCAATAGGTTTTTCTTATTTCTTTGCTAGACTAATTAATTTTCAATTTTACTAAATTTTTAGGATATATATTAGTTTCACCCTTACGTGTAGGCATGTGATATATTGAGGGTAAAGTGATAATCATTTAGTTTTAGAGACAACCCATACATATATTTTACCTTTTGGGGGGCATAAAAACAAGACATTTAGGAAAAAAATTGTATCAGATATGTAATGAGATTTATCCTTGATTTAGGAAGTCCATTTAAAGGGAAATTTTTTTACATCAAAGGTAATTTAAGATATTTCTTCAATCTCTAAATTTTTCTATTTATTATTAATTTTATATCAATATAATTAATAAATTATTTAAATTACAGGTAATATTAGTTGGATAGAAAGTGATGTCAAAAATTATGATGCTAAACTCTGAAGCTTATGAAGCTTATCCTACAAGTATTCACTATTGTCAAAGAGAATCTGGAGCTTTTAGGGGTTTCTTAGTCTTCTCGATCAATGGACTATCCAGAATTCAGATTCGAGAAGACTTGGTTCTAGACCTAGCTAGACGACCTAGTCTAGAGATTTGTTTACTTACACTGAAACTTGCATAATTTGTGTGCTTTTATAAATCAAAGTGAATTAATCTTATTATTTTGAACTACTGTTTTCTCATGCCTTGATTGTTTCTTTGTGTTAGTGCTTAGATGTCATGAGTTTAACTCTATATACCAAATATCTCAGTTTATTCTAATACCAAAAACTTTTAAGTTTAAATATATAAAAACTACGTTCATACATAGTATACACAACAAAAATCAGGATCTTGTAATATCTAAGTAAGTAAATATAAGGATATTATCACTATCTATGTTCAGAAGAATCAAAAATTAAGTAAGAGTTCTGACAGTTTTTTTCTATAGTGTTTGGACAAAAGAATTTACTTTATACACCTTATTATTATTTTGTTTACTTCTTCTCCTACAAAACAAATGTCGACACACCATGATAAAAACGACGACACTATTGGGACAAGCAACATCAACCTTATTCATCATCTTCGACTTCATAAGTGATGGGAGCTCCGACCGATTCCATAGTGTCTCTCGATGATCAACGAGCAGCAGTTTAGATCTTCAGAGATAACCAACCCAACCAATTCTATAAGCTCATGTCGAACATCCACCCTCTTGAATCCGTCATCGAAATGTTCAATACTTGGAGCCGTATGGCTAAGACCATCAATTATATCTGGGTGAATCGTAAGTCTCTTTCCACTTCATTGGAATATCTGGATCCAATTATTTTGACTATTTTGTAGTCTTTTCTCGATTAGAGCATTTTAACCCATCAATTATATTTTGACCCAAAAAAATGATAACAATTTAATTAGGAATGTAAATAAAAATGCTAACATACAAGTTAAAAGTAATAATTAAATTATCACGATAAGTAAATATGCTAATATATAAGTTAAAAATAATTCTTAAATTTATAAAAATATAAATATGGTAGTATATAAGTTAGCCAATACCAATCTAATTATCAAGAGAAAAACATATGAAAAATAATCTACATATTTATATCTTGTAATATATACTTTAACATGTTACCAGTGTCCACTTAATATTATAAAACTAATGTTAACATAATATGTTAATGTATAATTTAGCAATAATAATTAAGTTATCAGGATAAATAAA